GATCTCAGGTCAGAGGATCCTCTTCTTGATGGTAACGAGATCTCCCATTTTATGCCTCTACTGTGGCTCAGTTGAAAGCAGATGGGATGGCAAAACTGTCCATTAGCATTTTCTATGTCTTGTTTGCATGGACGCACCCTAAAGGTATCACTGACTTAATTTATATTGTTAGCAAGCAACTGACACTCCATATTTGCTTGTTGTGGGAGTTCCATGGGTAGAAAAGGGCACATCAAATATTTGACTCTACTGCACCAACCCACAGCAGTTTTAAGCTGCAGGACCCTTTGGCTCAGAATCTAGGCAGATACAGGGGCAGTGAAAGAGGCAGGACCCACATGGCAACTTGACACAGTGCCCCAGCCAGTGGGAAGGAGTGGAGCAGGGAGGGCAGTTCTGCACTCAGCAGTAGGGCCCACCTCCCAGAAACTGTCCTTAGGAGGGGTGAGAGAAGAGAAGCTCTTCAGCCAGGCCGTGTTAATAGCAAAATAGCCATGAGGGATGTAAAGTTTTGTCAAATACATTTCTTCATATAGGGATGACCAGATGGTTTTACTATTTTTATTCTGTGAATTGCATTAACGTCATCTTCAAAGAATGTTTTGTTTTAAGATAGAACCTAGCTTAATGGTTATTTCTGTTAGCATATTGTAAGTTCCATTTTATTATTTCTGTTCAGGAATCAGTTATTCTCAATTTTTCTTTATTTAAAAGAAATTCATTTTTTTCACCCTAAGAATTTTTTCATTTTCTTTAGTGGCATCCACTTCCGAAACAACATGCCTTCAGAAACTATGAACTTTGATAAATGTCTGTAGTAGTAGAGGGGCTTCAGGCCTTTTGTTCATAGGGTCGCTATGAGTCATGCTCGACTCAGTAACAACTTTAGTATTCTGTGGTTGCAGTATGCTTTATTTAAATCTTTTTTAGTTTTGTTGTGATAAAATATACCTAACAAAACATTTTCCATTGCATTTTTATGTATATAGTTCAGTGATATTGCTTTTACCACAATAGTACAACAGTCATTGTTTTCAGATTTTTTTTTTCATTACCATTAACTCAATATCCTTATTTAGGGCTTCTGTAACAAATTCCACAGGTGGGTAGTTTTTTGTTGTTTTTTTTTTAGAGAACTCTTTTATAAAATATTATACAGGGAAAATACATACATACATATAGAAAGAGTGCTGGCATCAGGGAGGGGTTCACTTCTTGAACATGGGGTAACCTAATCCTGACACATCAGGGTGGCTGGCACTGGCCCTCTTTCCTGAAGCTGTTCATCTGCTGTCCTGATTACCATAGATCCTAAAGATGCAATGTCTTGACCCCTAAAGGAACTGCTTCCTGCCTGCTGCTTTGAGGTGAACTACTCACTCCCCTCCCCTCGTCAGTGAAGGAGCCTGGCTTGGCCTGGTCCCAGGAATTCAAGCTCTCCAGGGCTTGCAAACAGACCAAAGAATATTGTTTCCTGATATGTTTGGTGCCTGTGTACCATCCAGGCTAAGGCATTTCCAAAAGTAGAAGAGGGTCTAATTCACCAGAAACCAGGCATGGACTCGAAGTGCCCCGGCAAAGGGCAAATGGTCACCCTGCTGATAGGTTTCCCCTCTTTTAACTATTGACTTTCTTGACGTTCCTAAACTCTCACTTAGGTGGGTGGTTTAAACAGACAAATTACTTTCTCACAGTTTAGGAAGCTCACTCATATTCATTGCTGTTGAGCAAGGGCATTGTGGGGACAGCCAAGTCTGACCTTGGCTAACTTCATAAAGGGACACTTGTCCCCCTCAGTACAACCGTAGCCTAAAACTAATTCCTGTAAGGTCAGATATGGCCCCCATTTTGCCGCACCTACTTCTGCTAATTCTAACACCAGTCATAACTGCTCTCCTGGGTCTGAAATCCGTTGCAATAGCTGTGCAGACTACAAAGAATCAGACTCACAATTACCAGGTATAATAGGGAAGTTAACAGGCCGTAATGCAGGTTAGTGCTTATTGTTAGGTGCCACCGAGTCTAGTAACAACCCTTTGAACAACAGATCTGAACCTTGTCCTGTCTTGTTCCATCTTCATCGTCTCTGACATACTCAAGTCCAATTATAGCAGTCACTGCGTCAATCCATCTTGTTGAGGATCTTTCTTTCACTAACCCTCCGCCTTTCTAAGTATGATTTCCGTCTCCAAGGAATAATACCTCCTCCTTACAATGTGCCCAGAGTATGTGAGGCAAAGCTTTATCATCTTGCCTCCGAGGGGGTCTCTGGCTGGTTCTTTAGAAAAGCAAAAACAGTGTTGCTTATCTATATATCTATATATGTCTATATACACAGAGACAGAGGGAAAGGGAAAGATTTATTTTAAGGAAATGGCTCACATGTTTGCAGAGGAAAGTCCCTGGTCAGTAGCTCAGACTGCAAGATAGAAGGATTTGGGAAGGCAGAGTTCAAGTCCTTAGCAAACAGGCAGGGTTTCTAGCAGCTGGTGGTGTAGGCTACCAGCTTCAGAGGCTGACACATTCCAAGTCATTGTTGACAAGCAGGATCATAGTTGATTGGCTTTGTAAACTCCTGGCTGCTGGCTGCAGAGGCATGCCAAGGTCAGTGTTGGGAAGCAGGGTGGCATACTGTCTAGTCCAAAGTTAACAAGTACAGTCCAGTAGGCCACTGGTTCATGTCTGGAGACCATGAGCCATAGCTGGCCGTTTTGGTGTTGTTAGATGCCCCATTGAGTTGACTAACACAATGTGACTCTATTAACAACAGATCTGAACCTTGCAGTATTCATCATCCCTGGTATTCTGGAGCCCGTTATTATAGTCAGTGTCAGTCCATCTTATTGAGAGTCTTCCTCTTTTTCACTGACCCTCTCTCATTCCAAGCGTGATGGTCTTTTTCAATAACTGGCCCCTTTTAATAACATGCCCACGTATGTGAGACAAAGCTTTGGTAGCCTTGTGGTGGCTCTTTGTATAACACATGTTTGTTCTTTGTGCACTTCATGGGTATTCAGTACTCTTCTTCATCACCACAGCTCAAAGGTATCAGTGTCATCCGTATTCATTGTCCAACTTTCAGATGCAAAGCAAGTGATTGAAAGGATGGTGGCTTGAATCGTACTTGAACTGGTAAAGGATGGTTTTGACCACTTTGAATCAAATAGTCATCTGATCTCTTAAACTGAGAATGAAAAATGGAGGAAGAATGTTGTTGCATTGTTGCATTTACTTCAAAAAGACCGTTTCACAATCTATCCTTAAGTGTGATTCAGTGAGTGTTAGAATACTATCCATATGCATACAAGGAAGAACTGTTAATACAACTGTTATTCAAATGTATGCACAATAACTAGAGCCAAGTATGAGGAAATTGGGGAATTACATCAACTTTTGCAGTCTGAAATTAAATATGCAGTAAAAATTCCTTATGAAAGGGAGGTCTGGTGGCCTGGTGGCAAGAAGCTGTGCTGGTGCATGGTTCAAATGCACCAGATGCCCTACTGGAGAGGGGCAATCTATT